ACCATAAGGATGTAGGGCTCTCAAGTTTCTCCACGGTGACATAATCAGCATTCACTCCTTGAACCTTATCCGCTCTCAGTGAGAGCCTCTCACCAACTGATTTATAATATAGACCTGATAGTTCACCAATATTTCATTTGTTGGATGTTCCCACCCTTGAAATATTTCTTCAGGGAAATAATCAACCTTATCGGAGAACTTCACCTTCCCTTTAACTTTACTAGGATCCACAGGTCCAACGTTGGTCTGGATATAAGTTCCTTCAGAGGTGACGTGAACAGATGTCTCGTAGCGTCGTGATCGTGATATTATTAACTAGAACGCTTTATTCTTAACATTATTGTACATTCTACATTCCTGTGCGCCGCTGCCCCTCGTATGGCTTGCGCACATGGATTCACGTGTATCTCTAAGAACACTCGCTCGACCCAGGGGCGTTTTCTGTGAACCAGTGATCGTCCGAGCTTCACTCAGTCATCGTGACTTGTATTAGAGCGGTTGCCAACCCGATATACAAATGATTGGGAGCGCGTTACTTGCCGGTAGGAAACAACTCGAATACATCCGATTATTTATGTACACATTTCCAAGGCTAATTCCGCTCCCAGTGAGATAAACTTAACCGGGCGGGGCGGCTATGCCAATCCAAGATATCCTCAGCAAGGTCAAATCCTCCCGAGGGCATAGTGTTTGCACGGGCATTTGGAAATTTCCGGGCACGGAAATTTTCCGAAAAATTTCCGCTCCGTTTTCGGAATGGAAAAATACTGGAAAAATAATACTTTTTCGTAAAATTCCATCCGTTTTCGATGGCGAAATGTAATATTCTATCTCAAACGAAGTTCGTATTATTCTAAGTTGAATCCTCGAAAGAAAAATTAATAATAATGACTGCTAACAGTCTGCTAGTATGTGTATGCCAAATGGAAGTATTTTGTTGCGCAGATCTTCCTTTTCTTCGCTCGCCCAAAATTCAACCACTGTGCTCATCTGACGTCGGGCATGTCCATCTCAGAGTTCTTTTTTCATAAGAAAAGAAATCGTTCATATCTCAGAACATCTCAGAAGTTGTCGTCCACATTGTACTTTCGCATCGCATCGGTGATGGCCGGCCTGAGGGTCTCTTGGCATTTTACGAACACATCATTGACAATACCACCAATCTCCCAATCGTTATAGATGGCTGCGATAGCCAACTCATCTCGATATTTCAACATCGCATCCTTGGACGGCACAGGCGCAAAATGTTGCGTGATAGGAGTATTACCATCTCCCCTGAACCCTGTACTGACGGAGATTTGTCTGTGACCAAAAGCTCGCGCTGGAGGGTTGGCGGGAGTGCGAAGGTCAGGCGCTGTGTCGGCATCGGAAGCGACACAATCAGTGGCGCTAAGACCTTGCAGAGCATGCGGGTGGGACTTCAATATGTGATCGTAGAATCTCGTGGGATTGTCTAATAGACAATGTCTATTGCATAATCTTGAGGCTTTTCCCGCCCCTCTTCCACGCAAAGTATACAACGATGGACACTGGTCGTCTTGCCATCTTCGACTGACTTCTTCACAAGGTAATAGTATCCTCGACAGTCTGAACGACCCCTTCCAGAGCCTCTACCACGACGCCCTGATCGTCCGGTGGTCTTTTTGGGCAACATCATGCGCTGTCGAGGAACATTCCGTTAGAACGCTACGATCATAACAAGTTGGGTAACAGTATGGGTTACGGTTGTGACTAATGACATCGGTACATGTCATTAACGCAATGCACTGGCATTGGCATTGGAATTGGCATAGAAATGGCAACGCAACAACCTCTAGTACTAGAGCGCTCGCCCGATAGGGCGAGCGAAAATTTCTCGATTGATTATATTTCGGGGAAAATTTCCGGAAATTTCCCGGAAATTCTCCATTCTGGAAATATTTTAGCGTGCCCGGGCATATCAAACATTATGCCCGAGGGGCGGCTATGCCAATCCAATACACCCCTCCACATATTCTTAGCATACCCGGGTTTTCGACTCGTGTACAGCCACCACAACGAGTATCATCTTGCGGCTCAGGGAGGTATGTATTTGTGCTTTACCTGATATGATCTCCAAGTTTCAGAGCCTTACTCTTCGTAGTTAGTGAGAAGTCGAAGACCGGTAAAAAGTTCTCTTCACATATTCTTAGCATACACGTGTTAAAATTGCGCCTCAAAATACCAACTTTTACTGGAGGAGTATATTTATAACTCCGCTCCTGATCTAATGCTATACATCAACAGAAAGAGAATCGTTCATAATGGTATTCCTCCATGTTTCACTCTCATAAAACGACACATAATTTTCCCAGTTAAGGTGGGATGAGGAACAAGGTGCGTATATAGTAAGAATTAAGATGGGGCCTCCTAGAGGAGGCATCCCGATTAGTGATAGGCGTTGGCATAGTTATTGTTGCTCAGATCAAGTCCCCGTCCTAGATGAAGCTCACGAGGACATGGAGGAGTACGAAGCCTGCTGTGAGGTCGACATGGAGACTCTCGTGGCTATTGAATAGAGTCTATTCTGGAATTGGCGTTTGCCCGGCATGTCTGGGGCTCCACACGTTGGAGCGACCAGTGAGGAGTCGTGAGTCGCGCCACAGCTCCCTATTCATTAGTATCAGCTTTTGACTATCTGTCTATGGTATTGTGTCGCGGGACAGTCTCCGTGGCACGGAGTCCGTGCACGACGTTGCTGATATTTTAGACGTTGGAGGAGTTGAACCAGCAGGTTCGGACTTTATGTGATCGTAACACTGCTTTAGAGGAGGAGAATGCACTGTAACGGAATCGTCTGATGAGGTTCAATTGACTATCAGCTTCAGATTGCGGAGCCGTTGTGCGAAGTTTATCGAACAGTTGCACGAGTTGGGAGCGTCTTCAGTGGATTTACAATCACCTGAAGCGAGTGGTATTTTACTTTTTGGCCAATTGCGGGAACTTGTGGGAGTTATGGTGAAATATGTGAAGATTCTCAACGCCCAGTGGGAGTTGTTATCTCTGTGAGGATTCTGTGACCTCACAGCCTCTTGCAGTATTGGGGTTCCACAATGAGTTGCATTTCAGTGTCGAGTCGCCATCACGCGCAGTGACACGCCTACTGAGACGTCATATTCTTACAGGTGGTGATCACCTAATGTTTCATGGCAGTTTTCCAGCAGGTGAGCGAATCGATAACACTGGAAGGGTTTTGCTCTTGACTATCACGTATGCAGTCTGGTATGTTGAGCTCTAGCGAGCGCCACTTATCACTTCTCAACCATCAACATCTTCCTATTCCAGATTCGAGAGGAGCAATTCAGCCTGTCGAGTGACCTGCACACTCAGCATTTCAATTGTCTGAATATCCGATGAGATGACAGATGCTATTCTATTTAATTTGGCATAATTGTTTTTTGAACGAATTGACTTGCGTTTTCGATAAGTATCAAATATAGATGAACGAACACAGCATACCTCGCGAATTCGCTTCCTTGTGGATCATGTCGGGTGGTGCAGACTCGCACCAGGAGTAGGAATATGCCAAGAATCTCAACCCGGATTTGTTGCTCGTCGTTGTGTGACTAGGCGTTCCTGGACCTCACGATTTACCAATTTCTTCGAGCGTGTGTATCTTGCTGCATAGTTGTGCTGATATGGGGACATATTACGTTAACTGTTGTCAGTTGAGACTGTCGCGGTGTGCAGTCCATCACATCTGTGTCTCCGTTGTCCCATTTGTATCAGCTAATATATTAGCTAAGCTATACCATCCCATTCGTTACTCATAAGTGTATAATCATGTCTTGGTATACCCAACAGGGTCGTATTGAGTTGCATACATGGGCACAGAGTCCTTGGTTATACACTGCATAGGGCTCGAGCGACGAAAACATCGAGTCGATGTTCTACTGTTCCGCGAAAGAAGCTCGTTTCGGGTGGGCGAGTAAGTGTAAATATGTCACGCTAATATAGTGCTAATAATATGTGCTAATATAGTGATGGTAGGCCGACTTGTCGCCAACAGACGTTTTGTGTCCGTCATGAACTCTGCTGGCAAAGACCGGGAAAGAGACTGAACCCAAGGACTGAATAAATATTTAGAAATCCGTTGTAAGACAAGACACCCATTCGAAGTAGTTTGATAATATGAATCGCCTTGCATCCGTACTCTCAGAGGAATCCAACGCCGACATACTAATGTAATGGATAAAAACCCACGAGAACGACTGCGTCACGTCTCTCATCGAACAATCCATATAGCTAATGAGGCGAGCGATACAACAACAGAGATCGACAATATGATGATGTAAGCCTCCGTACACTACTATCATCGGTATCATCATATAAAGTTAAAGCTCATATAAAATTGCGTTATTATCATCAATACGGGGTTATTCAAATAGAGGAACAATCCTCTACAACCTCGCCCCCTCGTCGCGAATCATAAGAGATCTCAGCAAAACCTTAGGCACTCGCTTCTGCTGTGTTAAAGCCAGCTTGTTCGCGACGATCTTATCATAACCAACAACAATAGTGCGATCCGTAGGACCCTCACGCCATCGTCCGAGAGCATCCACCATCCATAGACGAACCAGTAGCTCACGAGTGGTCTGCCTGTTCTCAACCACCTCGGCCACGTCATAAAAGAAATTGAGGGGGTCTTGCTCATCGGCTACCTCATATAGAACCAGATCTTTCGGCAGTAGCTGTTCCATTGGGACCTTCATCAATCTTCTCCAGAGGTGCGTAACGCCAATACGACGGAATGTGGGATTTGAAACTTCTCCCTCCAGACCTTGTCGCATATCTTCATCCAGGAATATCTGCTTTAGTTGATGAGCCGGTATCGCCTCGTCCAATCCCTCCACAGTATAGTGATTCATGCCCTTCCTACCAGATACCACATACGGTCCCCTCACCTCAGGCTTTTGCCCGCCAGGCACATCCTTCGAGAGAACTCGTAAGACGTAGCTACCTTCTTGAATATCATTGGCTGAATTGTGAAGGCGAAACTCGTCCTGCCGCTTGGCAATCTCGAGTTGCCTCACAATATCCCAAATCTGATGTGCCATCTCAATATTATGGCGTAGCTCTTCCACGTAGTCCCCCATGTCGTCATAAGCACACTCGGGAGGATTTCCACTAGCAAACAGATCAGGCGCGTGTCTGCCATACGTCAGATAGTAGGGCGACATATCCCCAATGGAGTTCGCATATACAGGGCTCGCTGTATTGTGTACCATAGCTATCGCAGGTAATTGTTCCCACCAGCTTTGCCCTTCTTGTCGAAGTCGCTCACTGGTCACTCGTAGAGCCGTTTTTACTTCTCTGACCGCTCTCTCAACCAGACCTTGTACTCTGGGGTTCCGAACAGAGCCGAGCGTGTGAGTCATCGATGTGAATCTGCATAGCTCAGTGATGATGTTGGCAGTGAAGTGTACTCCTCTATCAGAGTGAAGCACAGTTGGTGGACCATGGACACAAATATGGGCCTTCCACAGAATTTGGGCAGTGGTAAGAGCATCATCAGAATGGACCGCCTCGAGGTGCAACCACCTGGTGTAGGCATCTATCATTAGTAAGATATATTTTGGATCTTCCGGCGCCTGTCCTGGGAAGGAAATCGGCCCAGCATAGTCAATAATCAACAACTCATTTGGCCTTGAACTTCTCGAGACCGTCGATCCCAGTTCACCGACTCTATGGCGCAATGTCACCTTATCGACTTGACACCTCGTACACGTACGAGCGTATCGGGCACAATCTGCTAGCACTGTTGGCCACCAATGATATCTCAGTACTGCTTCTGCAAGCCTCGCCGCACCCCTGTGGCAAGTAGGCGTCAAATCATGGTACTTGCATAATACCCAGGACCTCATCCAAGGTGAATCAGCCCCGGCTGCCAGCTCTTTGCTTCTGGCTTTAGGTACAAACAGCTTAACCCCAGGCCGACCTCGATAGAGTAAAATGCCGTCTTCTAATAGAAAGCGTTTGGCCACACTCTTAACGCGGTCAGTGGTCACCTTGTGGTCACTCTCGATGTCGTCACCCGATAGGTACTGTCGCACTAAAGAAAGCCGTACTCCAAGATAGCTCGTCTCGTTATCATTGATCTGTGCATTTCGCACCTCCTCGAGGAAGTTGCTCAAATTAGCACTCTGGTACACGGCTTGTAGGCTTTCTACGACCGCTTTGGCCGATGTGTCACCTAT